TTTAACAGAAATTAATGGCTATTTGCCTTTTGCTGTAATAATTTTTTTAAAGACCTAAACATTCACAAACTGTCTGATCGTGTTTCATATGTACATAATGGGTAGAGTTTTAAATCTCTGAGTTTTATTTGACATCAACTGAGAGCAACAGAATCATCCAGCAGCCCTGCAGGTCTCAGAATCCCTTGAATCCAGGAATGTGATACTGTGCATGTTGGAAGTAATAGTGACATATCCAGAAGGAAATTTCAAAGCTTAGTTTGCATCCCAAAACACTGGAATGCTGAATACCAACAGAAAATTATGTGGCCTGGTCAAGCAGAGTTGGAAGACTTGCTGTGTTAAATTCTTTGAGTTATTTTAAAGGAAATTTCACTAGCTTAAGACATTGGGAATGAGATTCCCTCAGAAGGATGACACCTTAAGGGGTCAGCTGTAGAATCACTACCCTAGGATAAGAATCAAAGTCACTTACCTACATTTGTACCTAATGAAATACGCTGGCACCAGAAATAAATGACATAAAACTGTACTACTCTCTTTTCCACTGTGTAGCCACTGACTCCAGCATGAACCATTAAAACTGCAGCGAGTCAGAGCCAATTGGTGCTGGCAGCAGCTTCAATAAATCTGTGCCACTGAGCTGCAGGAAGAATTAAAATGGAGAAATTAGAAATCAGAGGTATCGAGTGTAGTACAAGTGAGACTTACCTGGTTAAGTACCATTTCATATACCACTAGATTTCAGTATCAGGAAACCCATGGAAACACTTGAGGGGGTTGGGTGCTGACGACTCCACCTGCCAGGGGAAGTCATAAATTTCAATATGCCATAGCAACAGAATACATCCCTCATTAAAAATGCAGGCATAACACAGCTCAGAGCAAAACTCCCTAGAAACAAACAAGGGAAACTGGTATTGGTGTTCACACTTTCAACACATACGCTGTACCCAGGACATTGTGCTTCTTGGGCAGGAAACGGTTTCCTGAAGTCAGAGACACGGTGTCATTTCTTTGGGAGCAAAGGCCTCATGAAAAAGTCAAAGGAGATGGAGTCTAGAAGCAGCAACACAGACAGACCCCAAGGGCAGCCAGTGAAAACCAATGCACAGAGGGAGATAGGGACAGATCCCTGAGAGGTATCTTGGGGTTTTATTCCAGGCACTTTTACAAGACAGCGTGTTAAGCATTTTTAAATCACAAAGTCATTTAATCCTTAAAATAACCCTGAGAAGTAGGTATTTTCATCCCCATTTTTCAGAACCTGAAACAGTCACTGAAAATTTAAACCATTTGTTTAGGGCTTTAGGATACTTAAAAGGTATAGTTTTACCCAGGACTCACATCCTGATCTTGTTGATGTCAAACATAATATACTACACATTAAGCAGAGTGTAAACTCATGGTCAAACAGAGGCTGACCTAGAAGCAAATGCAAATGAGCTACTTAGGATACTTCTGGTAGTTTAACCTATTTGCTTTAACACCCCGGTCCAGCTGGAGACTCTTTGGCGATAGATAAATTGCTTAATGAATGGCTTACACAAGGAAGTCGCCATCCAGGTCCTGCAGGTGCGCTCAGCTCAGCTTGACTCTACCCCTGCTGTTCCATACTCATGGCTGCCCAACCCGCCCTGGAACAAAGCACCCTCTGAGTGGTTTAGCGCTAAGGGCTTTCACCAGAGTGACACATTAGCTTGATCTTATAAATTTAAGGCATCAGAAAAGGATTGGGTGGGCAGAAAGGGGGAGGAGGAGGAGGAAAGGAGGATGGAGAGAAGGCAGAAGGGGTGACAAAGCAGGAAGAGGAGGTGTGAGGGAGATTTCCATATGTTCAGCTTCAGGGAGTTCGGGTAACTTCGCCTGGGTTCTGCAATTGTGAGATGTGTGGCATTTTGAGATACCAGGTATTACCAGAAAAAGATAAATATTTTGTACATAGCTGTACTTTTTTTTTAACTTTTTATCGGTACCAGGGATTGAACTCACGACCGCCTGCTTGCAAGGCAGGTGCTTATGCCACTGAGCTAAATCCCTAGTACCAAACTGTATCTTTTCTAATGACAAGAGGAATTTGGGTCAAGGTTTTTCAGATGGCTTCCGAGTCTTTGGACCAAAGGTGCTAAACAACTTAGTAGCTTATTGTAAGAGTCTTAAAAATAAATGATAATCATTTCTAAACATAAAAAAAGACTTCTGTAAAATGTGTTTCACCTCTCCTATCGGCAACAAATCAAAAGCAGGTGTACTCTTGAAATTTCTGTTTGTGGGCCTTGGTGACAAGATCTTCCTGCCCTGCAAAAAGAAGCTTCACAATTTAAACACCTGCACGAAAAGCATATAAAAGCAATTTTTTCCTCTTTGCTAATGGAAAAATAAATCTTCAGTCAATATATGGGCAGTACTTATGTATAGGATGAAATATTAACAGTGATGGTAGCCAGCGGAGTCAGCTCCCTCAAATCCACAGTTCTTTCATCACTGCCCTTTATGCTTTTCATAGACAGGACCTGAGTCAAGGCAGACCTGAGTCATGAGTGCAATTGACCAGATAATGCATTTTCAGCAAATGATGGCTGCTATAATTAGGAGATGAGGATGAGATAGATATTGAAGATAGCTTTCATGTTAGGTAGAGTTTAGTGTATCTCCTATAATATGGGCAAAGAGTAACTTTATCAAATGTGATCTCTTTAGCTTCTGTGTCCCTAAGCATGGTCTGTCTTAGCTAATCATCGAAGTTAAGATGGCCTCCCCTTGACCAGAGTGGAGGGGCCAGGGTCTTTGGCTAGCAAACAGAATGAAGTCAACTGGCCCTCCTAGAATTGAATCCACAACCCTGGCCTCATGAACTCCACTTGGGCAACAGACCATGATGAACAATAAAATGTAGCAAATGAGATACTTAATCATATGGCCGTGAATAGTTTTCACTAGCGTTTTAAAACTACATTAATCTTAATGGTTAGAACATGTTTAAAATGATCATTTATGTGGGATAATCCTCAGTACCGATACTTTAAGAGTACTTCTTTAATAAGATAACTTTTATGTCAATAATCATGCTACAGCTTCATCGGGCCTTTCAAAAGTAGGTAGCTAAAAGGTATAGACATGCTGAGAAGACAAACATGTAACATTTCCAGTTTCGCTTCACAGGCTTAAGCGTGTTACTACAGGCTTTTCAGGAGCTATTGATAGTGGTTGCCCAGTGACCCAACAGTCAACTACTTCCGGCTTTCATAGCTCGCTTTGAACAATTCAAGAATCCCAAGGGTACTGTACTGCTTTGTGGATGCTTCACTGGAGTTCTAATTATGTCTGACAGCTTTCCCCAGGAGGTTAGAAACCTGTGAGGCTGTGCTTCTCCTTTCAAAATGTGGTCCTACCCTCAGTGGTGGGGCAAGAAGAGCAACAGTGGGAATAGCAGCGAGCATGACAAGTGTCTTCCAACACGTGCAGAGCTGCAATGGCTTGACGTGTTTCACACAGGTTTATAAGAGGCACACGGTTCAAGGTGCATCTTCTAGAACAGTGGTGCTGACCCTATGGCCACAGAAGGTTTTTTGTATCACTGAAAGCTCTAAACGGTTCACCATCACTGTTTTAGAAGAAAGCATTTAGGGTACAAATAAGAATATATATTTTTCTTAGTATTTTTGATGTCCAGCAGAAAATATGTATTGCAACTTGGAAAGAAGTGTTAAGGCAGAATTAAAAGATACTGGTCATCCACAAGGAAATGTTACTGGCTGGTATAGTGACCAGCTATACTTCTCAAGCTCTTTTTGTCCTGTTCAATGAATTGGACACAACAATGGATGAATGTGGAAGTTTAACATTAACTTTAGATTAAAAAGAAAGAAGAAAAAAAAGTACAAAAGTACTGCTCTAGAAAGAGAAGATGTGTCTTACAAGCCCGCAAGAACAAGACAGCAGTGGCAGTGAAGTCAATGGCTGTCATTTGTTACCTTTTCTTTCTGGTATTAGATCCAGGTAGTCCCATTGAAACCCCACTTGACCTTGTGCTAGAAGATTAGCCTCTGATACAGAGCTTGGCTGGTGTGCGTGGCAGAAGCTTGGTATCGGGGCCACTGCATCTGGTCAACAAGTCTCTGCAGCGGACAGGACAGGGCAGGCCCAATTGCTTTGCCATGCTCTGTGTCTACAAGACTGTGGCAATGGTTGAGGGCTTCACTGTCTTCAGCCACCATCATCCTGTGGACACCCCTTCCTGGAACTCCTTGCTTTGAACATTTCTCTTGCAGAGAGCTTCCTAACCAGCAGACAGAAGAGGGCACCCTGCACCCTTAGCCTCACGAGGACCCATTTGACAGTCTCCAAACCCTAGAACATACCTAGAGCTGGAAGGGACCTTTTGGGACCTGGAAAGGTGAACTATTCTTACTTTCTAGAGTCCACAGGGCTGGCACTCTGAGCTGCAGAGTAAAGTTCAGGGTGTGGTGAGAAGGAAGGAAGTGTTATGATGCCACTATACTTGCAAATTGAGGACAGAGTGGGGGCCCTCCAGAAGTTCTCAGGGAGAGCAGGGCATAGAACTTCAACCTTGCACATTGGAAGCTGTTGGCAGAGTGTACTCATGGGATCTTTGAAGCCCCATAGGGTTTCTCTCCAAATGCAGAAAGGGTTACACAGGGAGTTACAAACTTCCCTGGGCATGAACAGCCCTCTCACAGCCCAGTTCTCTGCTCGGAACCGGAAAACTCAGGTGCACTCAGTGCACCCTTCCAGGGCTGGGGGTTTGAACAGGGCAACAGAGTATCAGAATCCACCTTCCCCTCCACAAAAAAACAATCCCCCCAAAACAAAACAAAACAAAACAAAACAAAACAAAACAAAACAAAAACCCTGTCTCTGTCTCTCATATTCACACGCCAAGCGGGCAAAACGAGTGTTGGTGCCTAGTCTGGGCTCACAGAGCATAAGCAACTGGCCTTTGTTTCTGAGTCAGAGCGGTGTAGGGGACAATAGGGGACATCGTGGCGTCGCCGCAGGGCGCGCGCCTCCGCAGGGTGTGCGGTGCGGTGCGGAGCGGGAGGCCCAGCGCTGTCCGGGGTCCCTGGTGCGCTGCGCTCTCAGGAGTCCGCGGCAGCCGCGCGCCTGGCTGGTGAGCGGGGAGGGTGGGCGGGCTGCCTGCCTGGCTGCCTGGCGCTGGCGCTCTGCAGTGCAGTGGGGTGTTAGCCCAGCTCCCTATATGGTCGGGGATTAGCTCGGCGCTCCCGAGGCTGAGCCAGGAGCCAGCAGAGGAAGAAGAGGAGGAGGAGAAGGAGGAGGCGGGGGCGGAGGCGGGGGACAAAGAGCGCAGCATCAGTCGGCGCACGGTGCGCGGCTGCCGGGGGCAGCAGCGGCGCTGGAGGCTGGAACACCGCCGACGCCCCGGGAGCCATGGCCGAAGGAGGCGACGGCGGCGAGGACGAGATCCAGTTCCTGCGGACCGTGAGTCCCGCGGCGGGGGCGAGGCGGCGGGCAGGTGGGGAGGAGCGCGGAGCCGCGGGGGGCTGCGCCGCGCCGCCGTGCCGGTGTCAGGTCTCTCCGCACTCGCGGTGCAGGGCTGACCGGCTGCAAGCCGCCGGGCAGCGAGGGGCTGCGTGAGAGGGGCGCTTCCCTTCCCTTCCCTGTGCCTTCTGTCTTCTCCATCACCCCTGACCGAGACGCCCCTAGCCCGCACTGCCCGCTTTCCAGCCAACTTGCTACTTGATCTGAAACCTCGGGTGCCCAAACTTCAGGCTGGCGTTGCTTGTGGTTGCCTTGACCCAGAATAGCAGAAGTGCCTCACAGTTGTCCCTTCATCACTTGCCACTTCAACCCAGTCCCCTTGTTCCTCGGAGGCGCCCCCGCAGGGCAGGGGACCAGAGTAGGGAGCCAGGTGGGGAAGCGGGCGCAGGCGCTGGGTCCCAGTCTGGGATTTCTGGGAAGGGAATTCTCCCAGCGCATCCCCTCACTCTGTAAACCACTAGCCAAAAACGGCCGATGGGGCCGTGTGGATTGACTGTCCGGTGCGTTAAAGCTTTGCTCTGCTCACCGTTCCAAGAGTCCCGCAGGATGGGAAACCCCGTCTGTGACTACGCGTCACTCAGGTCCCCTTCCTGGCACGGAGGGTGATGCCCCGCCCTAGACAGGGGAGCCGGGAGGGTTGCAGCTGCCTCAGTCTTGTCCCCTGGGAGCTAATGTGAAGCCTTTCAGTGTAGATGACCACTGGGAGGGGTGGGGGGCCATTATAATGTGTCCTGGAGCAGATTCCAGCCGTGTGACCTTGAGCAAGTCACATAATCTTGCCTCAGTTTCCTCTTATGAAAAACGGAGAAAATATAACCATCGCTTTTGGGGTGAGATAGTGGATGTGTGAACTGCAGATTGCTTTATGCTGGGTAATTTTACAGGAGCTGTCTAGCTCTCAGGAGTTTGAAATCATTTTTCCCTCTCTCCTCTGTGCACCCCTTCCCTTTTGATCTGGTCACGGAAGATCACAGGTTAGGGCTTGGCCGTCATTTGGAATGTGCTGTCCGCTTGTTGAAGTGCTTCTTTCTGATACCCTTCAGTTTTTCCTTCCAAACGTGGTTCCTTTGTTAAGGCAGGGATTTGAGACTTACTAGGGAGATTTGGAATACTACTGAGAAGTCAGAGGATTCATCCCTTTCTTCTGGGTCTGGTCTTGTCCCCATTCGCATTTCTAACACTGCATACAAGATGGCCCCACACTTGCAGCTCCTTATAACCTTTGCATTCTAAAGCTACCTCTTTCTTCCAGAACCCTGTGGACGCCAGCTTGCTTTCCAACAAGTGGCTCAGTATTTGACAGCAATCGCTCAGAGGTTCCCTGTTTTGTGTTCTTCTTAACCAGTGATTTCTTCTGCTTAGTGCTAACCTCTAGGCACCAACGATTGAAGAAATTTCCTTCAGGCTCAGTGTCCGTTTTGAGTAGATGACCCAGGAAGTTGAAGCCTAGGAACACAGTAGTTTCCGTGAGATTTCCCTTTTGTGTTTCTCCTGGATCTGTGGCCATCTTCCTTGACTTTCCGGAGGGCACCATAACGTTTTAGGTCTACCTGTAGCCAAAGTTTATTGTAGAACTTTGGATGACTGGCTTTCTGCTCCAGAGATCAGGGCAGGTGAACTTCTTTAATAGCCCTTCTAGGGCCTCTCCTGGAGGCTAAAGACTAGTTGAAAAATTATTGTTGCTCGGTGCTGTGGATCTGCATGGCTTAGGGAAAGCTAAATAAAGTATTCATGAGGGTGAATTCCAAACGTGCCATTTATGACCTTTTTTCCTCCTTTTAATCTCCCAAAGTGGTTTTGTTTGTTCATTTGTTTGTTTTTAAAGCCAAGTCTTTACGCTGTGAGGCAGATTAACTTCTTCTTGTTTAGCTTACTGGGAAGAAAATAGGAGAAAAAACAGATATACAATATCTTAGCCATGGTTGCCCAGCGAGTTATTGGTAATTGTTACATACTGTTAAAACAAACAAACAAACAAACAAAAAACTCCCACTGGAGCCAGACAGCATTATTCCAGAGGATATATCTGTAAGAAAATACTGAGATAGGAGCTGCAGATTTCTAAGCTTAATTCTCCTTCTTCATCTATGAATTAGACAACCTTAGCTGTCACATACTTGTACTCTTCACCTAAAAGTTGGGATTACAGTGCATCTCTACTTGCAGAGGAGTCAGGAACTGTGAGCTATACTAGCGGTGGGTTTCTCACATGTGACTTGCGTGGGTGAGAGAAGGCATCCCACATTGAGCTCACCTTTGCTGTAACATTTCTTTTCCATAAACAGCATTTTCTGAAGCATTTTAGCCACGTGTAAATCATAAGTTGTCTCATCACCTTAACATTGTCCTGGATCAGAACGTGGCTATTTGACAATGGAATGGAATTACATGTTTGCAACTATGAAATTTAGAGAATTGCTATGTCAGAGAGCAGAAGCTTTTAAATCTATTTTTAAAAACACAGACCACGGAACAGCATTAAGTCATGGTTCCTAATCAAATTTTTGGTGATTATGGTGTCATTGTGTATTATAATAGTGCCCAAATGAAAACAATTAGAATTATCCAGAGCATGAAATGGGCCAGAAGCATTGTATCAAATACGACAGATGTGTGTGCTGTTCTATGGACCCCTTCTAGGTGGTGGTTTTCATCTTGATTTGGTAGAAAAGGTGTTCTAAAACTAAGGACCCCTCTGGCTTTCTGAAAATCACAGATACCGACTGGAGAGTCAAACTGACTGATGGATATGATAGTCATTGTCTCTAACACTAGAATATTCCCACCCCTGCTTTTGGCAGTGGCGTCAGCCTCCTTTCCAGTTTCTCTTGCTGACATAGTCGGCCTCACTGACGTGGCTCTGAAGCAGATAAACCTGCCAGCCACCAATCCCGAAGCAAGACTTTGTGGTGAGAAGAGTGACAGTTATCCTGTCTTCAGACAGAAGGCGCAGTGGCTGGCACCCCAGCATGCTTTGAGGGTGCCAACAAGACGCTTTCTCGCCCACTTTCTCCCTAGTATCCATTTAAAAAGCAAAACACAGCTCCAGTCCTTCGCTTCTGGTTCTCAACCTATCACAATTGTTTTTCCAATCCCTTCTCCACTATAAAGATAATTAAAACAACTCAGAGTCAGGTAGACATTTGTTTCCATTGATTTCAGTGAAAGATGGGTTGCAGACAGTGAAAGATCTTTGCAGCTGTTCAGGAATGAGAACCCTTACTTGGATTGAAAGAAAACCCCAAACTCTTCCCTGTGAGGTGCCTTAGATTCCTGAACTTGAGTTGTGGCATTAACTTGAGCTCTGGAGCTCAGGGTGACAGTAAATGTTTTCCTGGTGGTTTATAGATTGCTGCCCGTTCTCTTCCAGTGGGGCCATTTATGTGACAGCTCCACTAGGAGCTCAGGGGCAGGAGGTGGACAAGAATGACATGGTTGCAGGCTCACTGGTCAAGTGCCAGGGGTAGGAATGGAGCCCCCACCCTCACCCCGGGCACCCAGGGCTCAGGCTGGGCAGGGGCTCTCCTGGTGAATCGTGCTTGATGGTTCAAATGATGAAACTCTGGGTCACTTGAGAGTTTGATCCTTCTCAATCTCTTACTCTTTGGCTTCTCAGAGCTAATCTGATTCTAGATGTTATCAGTGGAGCTGCACACTCACTCCTGTCTTTCACAGGGAAAGGCCGGCCCCCAGTGGATGTGAAAAGGAAACTGGGAACTTTTCCAAAAGAATTAATTAGAATCAGAAAGGCTACATCAGCACCTAGGGTTGGAGGTTCTGATCACTGCCAAAGGCTCAATTTACCCATGGCCAGGTTTCCCGACAGGTTTTTAGGGACTAAGCACCCAGAAGTGAAGTGATGAGGGCTTTAAGCCTTTAAATATTTTGGGACAGGATGGCCCATTACGAAGGGGCTTAGATCACAGACTAAATCTGCAGTTGGAGGAGGTGAGACTGATGTTTGTGTGCTAAAGATCTTTCATACTAAAATGAGTATGCAAAGATGGAGACAATTAAGTCAAGTGTGGTGTTTTTAAACAATTTTTAATTCCTTTTCTAATATTGTTTCAGAGGAAAAACAAGCATATCTCTCCAGCTCTTCAGGGCTGATTTGAGAGAGGGAATGTTGAAAAGAACGGGAAGAATTTATCTGGAGAACAAGATACTCTGTTGATTATTTTGGAAGGATTTGTATTTAAATAGGTTTTATATCTAGCTGTATTTATTTGTGTTTTTGCTTGTTTTGTGATTATTTTTGCTCCTTCCTGAAAAAGACTTTTTCATAGTTTGACTTTTCATTGAATTACTAAAGAGTTTTTAATTTAGGAGCCACTGACTCCATTGTTTTCTGATTGACTTGGCATCTTCTGAATAATCGTTACCAATTGCTTATGTTAGACAAGGAGGTCCTGTGTCTTAAGAATGCAACATTATAGTGCATTTCCCTCAATTCTACACTGCTATAAACCCTTCAATATTAGCTCTATCCTTAAAGCTACTCTTAAAGCAAGTTTTATCCAGTAGCAATGGAACATTGTAATAATAATAATAATAATAAAAAGAATTTAGAGCTATTCTTATTTCTAGCAGTAGCTCACTGTGACCTTGAATGAATCACTCCAGAAAATTGAGACTTTTGTTTCCCCTTCTTTACGGAGAACTTTCCTTAACAGAAGTGCCACAAAAGGAAGCAGTATTCCAAAAATACCCTGTATGAGGGAAGATGTGTTTTGGAGAGTATTGCCATTGTGTCTGTTCAGTGCTAGGACACTGACCCTGCTTGTGAATGGCTCTTGTTGAGAAACTACTGCAGTGGCCCCTCTTTCTAATATCACCTCTGCCTCCATCCTAGAGACGCTGGACCATCTTCAGCATAGATCTCACCCCACTATATTGGGGAAAACAGTTGATTAACATGAGCTCCAGTTTTCTTGAGGCAT